TTCACTTTCTTTATATTTATTCTTTTGTATTACCCAAAATTTTTACATAAAAATGAATTACCTCTACAATTTAAAAACTTTCCCTCTGGGAGTGCCTAGGTAGTTCACTCGGTTAAACTTCCCACTCTTGATATTGGCTCAGGTCGTGATCTCACGGTCATGAGATCAAGTCCCACATCGGGCTCTGCTCTGAGCGTGGAGCCTGCTTGGGATTCTCTCTCTCTCTCTCTCTCTCTCTCTCTCTCTCTCTCTCTCTGCCCCTCCCTTGCTCGCATAATAAACAAACAAACAAACAAACCTTAAACAATTTCCCTTTGGGGAAAGAAATAAAGAACGAAAGCAACTCATTCTGTTTTTAAACTGTTTTAGACTGAACTGGCTGAGGACTGGGAAACAGACCGTCTTTTGCTAGCCAAGGATGAGTCCCTCCTCGAGGCCAAATCACAGCAGCTGCTCCTAACTCTGCAGCTGCCTCTCCTCCTGCTGCCTTTTGCACCTACAACTTTTTTCAGTGCTTTACATTGAAGACTGAGAAGAAATCCCGGACTCTCACTTGGAGGGTTAATACTCTTCACCCGCCCCACCATGTTTCACTTGGCCCCAGGCTGCAGTCACACTGGAGACCTGCTGGCATTGCTCTGGTCCATCTAGAAGAGCAACAGGGACAATTTTTTTTTTTTTTTTTTTAAATAAAAAGGCCTACATACAGGAAATGGAGTCAGGTCATGGCTAAAGTGCTCAGAGCTTGTCCTTTTCTGCCCTTGTTGGCCACTCCTTCACATTCTCTGCTGGAAATGTCTCTTCCTTCTGCCCTCTAAATATTGGAGTGTCTCAGGGCTCGGTGTGGTAAATAATCTCCAAAGATGGTCCTTACCAATTCTTTCCCTCCCAGTACGCACGCGCCATTACACCCATAAAGAGGGGGAGTCTATATCCCCTTCCCTTGCATCAGTGCTGGCTGCTCAAGGTGCTTTGATTGACATAAGGTAGTTCCTGACCTAGCGTTTAAGAGGCCAAGCAGCACCCACCTGTGCTTGGGGGAGACCAGCTGCCATGTTGCAAGGAAGCTCAAGCCAGCCTCCTGAACACGGAACCAGCACATGGAGAGACAGAGGCTACCTGCAGCCATGCACCAGACACATGAGCGAAGGCTTCCTGGGCCTTCTCACCCGGCAGTGCAGCAGGGTGAGTGAGCCAGCGGATGCACACATGGAGCACACCGCAGCAGCCAAGGCCTCCCCAATTCCCGACCCACAGGACTGAGAGAAATAATAACCTGATGTTTTAAGACACTGAGTTTTTGGTGGTCTGTCATTCAGCAACAAGTACTAAACTACTCGGTTGTAGGATTTCTGCTCCGCTCCTTCCCAGTGGTGACAACCCCCCCCACCCCCCAAGAACATGCTTCTTGCAAAGAACCTCCTCCACCCATCCCCGGAAGAGAAGAGGGAGCGCAAGAAGAAGCCCCCTGGTGCAGAGCCCCAGCTCCCACTTCATGGACGTGCCGTGCCCAGGAT